CCCCCCCCCCCCCCCCCCTCAGGGACAACTTCTAAAGCACCTGGCACCTTAGAACAAGAAATCCTAATGGTCTTGACAAGAAGAAACTAGGGACATGCGGAACTCGGGATCGCTCACAACACAGTCACTAAGCAAAAACACAAAATTCACGACGAAACTCTTTCGAGATCAAAGTTGAACACAAAGGCTTGAACAGAAACTTAGAATATCAGTTCTAATGAAACGACACACAGTGATACTCGCTCAAATAAACCGGGTAATTACACAAGACTCTCTAAGAGCGGCAGTTGCAACAGCTTCCACTTCCTCTTTACTGTGGAAAAAAATAAAAATGTTTCTCCACGTTGGAAGACACAATAGGCAGTGTGCAGATGCAGAATATCTTACTACAGCAGTCAAGCTGGCGAAATATTCAACCGAATGGGCCATTACTAAGATTGAGGAATCACTTCTCAAAGCGTTTTGTGATGACTATAAGTCAGACCATCAGAGGATGCTGGTCATTTGGATCCGTCTTTGCGCTAAAGCTTACAGCTACCACACAACCTCAGAGGAAGTGTGAGAGGAAAAACAAAAACAGATGAATTTTATAAGTAAAGTTCAAAACAAACCGAAGCTGCAGCATGGTAGAGCCAAGCCTGGCTATGTTCAAAATCCTTTTTGACTGATCGGTAGTGTGAGTGTGCGAAAGAGAACAGTCCAAACAAAAAAGCCAAGTCAGCTAATCGTCGACTTTGCATTTCCAGACTTTCTGGTTGAAAACTGGAATGTATAAGAATTTCAAGGGCTTCTACCCCAGTTTAAGAATTTAATTCTCATCAGAACATTAAATGAGAACAATAAATAAGGAATCGCGATGACCAACGAACCTGACAGAAGATAACGTTTGTAAATTCCCAGCCGAACTGCCACCGAACCATTTCTTCATTCCGCTCGTTAACGATTTCCCTATCAAACCTCGTCTAGCAGCTAACTGCTCGAGCAATGTGCGCATTAATCTTTCTACATGAGGAATCTGAAATATTCACTGAGAAATCAAACTTTCAATTTCAGAATGAATTTTGAAAAAAAACCAACCAAACAGTCTCTGAGAAACTTTAGTGTGACGTTTTTTAAAGTTCCTCTATCAGCAGCTGATATTGCATTGCCCCTTATGATCAAAGGTTGTCCATTCCCTAAACAGAACAGAGTGAAAGAGACGATTCCGTCAATGCTTGAGTACAGCTTATTACCTGGATAGCCGTTAATGGCTGTGGATGGCAAGGTGAAAGACTGAACAACAGCGTATGATGGGGAAATTGTGGATACGCCAGGCTGAAATCAAAATATGATGGACTTTCAAATTATAAAGGATAAATAGGTAAAACGACCTACGGCACTTGGTTTCCGATCAGCTGACTGTTGGGCCATCGCCGAAGCGGCGGCATGCTGGAGAGCACGGCGTAATCCAACGTTTAGAATAGCATCCAACTCTTGGCTATCATGCCAAACATTCGGCAAATCTTCCGTTGGTGTCCCATCACCAATCCGTAACATTTGGCAGGAATCCATTCCGTACGTGGTGCACATTTCTTTGAAAACTGCAGTGGTTCTGAACATGAAGAACATCGAATAGGCATAAATAGCGAAGTAGGGGTGAAACTCACTTAGCCTCATCATCTTCCGCGATGTCGTGAAGGAGAAAGTAATGTTTTAATGTGTTTGGAGTCGTCCATTTGGGAGGACCACAATGAGACGGAGTCAATCCCTTCAAGTCTCCAGACGAATGCTAAACATGGTTTCATAGATAGACCCCAAAATACTACTTATTTATAGAAAATATTCGCTTTTCAGCTAAACGATAAAGGAAACATGTATAAAGAACGGTTATGCATACAATATTATAGCGAAATAAAGGCCAAACAACATAATGTCGCCGAAACTGAGGTTGCTAGAGGTTAACTACCATCTATTGATCTTTCGTTTCGGCCGCGACGACTAGCCCCGCCCACAAAAGCGTGCGCCGTCAAATTCCAGCACGGAGATTTGTGGAAGTGAAAACATGGAAATGATATGTCAGCAACCAATATTCATCAAATAATGCTTAAATAGAGTTATGGGATTCATCTATATACGAGATTCCCGTTTTCTTTGTGTGAGATCAAAATATAAAGCTGATATTTTGGTCTCATAGAAATTCCCACGTGTATTTGTATTTGTAATAAACATGAATCGCAAGAACATACATAACGGAATCAAATTGATCTACATGATCGGTATGAAGACCAGAAGAGATTTCCGACGACAATCTACTGTCGTGGAAATTATTAAGAATTATCGGTGAAAAGGGGAACAAAATGGAGTTGGAATAATGGCAAAAATGTTGGCCGATGCTGCGGAGAAAGTGGGACTCACTATTAATTTTATGAAGACGAAATGGATGAGATTGAGTGGAAATGGATGAGATA